GTTGGAAAGGTGTGGAAGATGGATGGAATTAGGGGGAATGCATGGCAATGATGGGGAGTTCTTTGGTGATGAATGCAATGATGAAGAGTGAATAAATAATGCATGTAGGGTTAGCTAGGTTGGCTTTGTTTGGGTGCATGTGAGTTAAAGAGGGAGAATGTGGTGAAATGATGAAGTAGGAAGGTGGAAATGCATGTGAATGCATGTGAGTGCATGTGTGTGTGAATGGGTGTTTCTTGATGGTTTTGGGGTTGTGATGCATGTGAATGCATGTGGCTAAGGCTTGTTGATTGGGCTAGAGGTTTTGCATGGCTCAAAGGATTGTTTGATTGGGCTAGGCCCTTTGTTTTATGTCCAAAGTGCATACAAGGCTTTCAAATTCGTCCAACACTTTGGCTCCAAAAATATGCTATCCATTCCAAGCCCAATTTTGCTCCAAAATGCTCCAAAATGCATCTTTTTGCTTCCTTAGCCATATGAACCTAAAAACACACGAAAATGGCTTAAACTACTAAAACAACTATGAATTAACAACATAGATGCACGAAAACAAGCTAAGTAAGTCGCCTAAATATGCTCCTATCAACTGTAAACACTAATAACTTCTTCGTTATAACTCCGGTTCACGAACAGTTTGCACCTATGCGCTCGTAGGGCCGTGCTCTATCCAAAATTAACAAGAAATAATTTAATATGTATAAGTATAAAATACGTCCTCGTACAATTACGTTCAACCCACTAAGGCCATTTCCATCTTTTTCACTTATCAATAAATTTTACAACGTAAATTATAATAATTCCCGATAACAAAATTTTAAAATTTCTTGATTAAATTTTCATAACCATAAATCGATTTATTTTCGATTATCTCCATATATTCATATATTTAAATTTTCAAGGTATTACATCGAGCTTGGCCCCCGGCGCCACAACGCCCTTCTTCGTCCTGAGCCACCTCGGATTAGCTTTGGAAGATTATTTGGAAGCTGCAAACCCCAGCCAAAATCCAGAATTTCATGTGGAAAACCCTCCACCATGCTCTGGCCACGATGGATGAATCATTTAAACACTAATCTGCCCCTAACCTGATATGCCAAAACCAGGAAGAGTTAATTGAACACCTACTCTTATTATGCCTATGGGTGAAGCCCATCTGGTTTGGAGGGATATTTCAAGATTGAGTGGAATGGGGTTTCCAGTTGGATGAAGTGGTTTGACTCAATCTTTAATCTGTAGATAGGAGCCAATGGTGACCGACCGTCTTTGCTCTCGTATGTAGCCTTCAAGTGTTGGCATATATGGAAGGCTCGGTGCAATCTTTTGTTTAATCAGCGACTAATCAACCCCACACAGGTTTTATGTGCAATTACAAACTCAACGGGTGCATTTGGTGTTGTTGTACATGAGAAGCATTCGCAACCTGCTCCTATCCTTTCAGTGGCTGGACGATCAACCAGGTGGTTCTCCCGACCATGTCGTATACAAAAATCAATGTTGAAGGTAGTTCGTCGGAGCCGACGCGCTCCAGGTTCGCTATAATTATGTTATGGGATGCTGAGGGATCTTTTGTGGCAGCAATTAGGTACGTTATTCATGCTCCTTGTGTGGGTGCAGCTGAAGCATTGGCCTTCCTTAAAGGCTATAAGTTTGGTTTATCATTGGGGCTTCGAATGGTTATCGTGGAGTCTGATTCCCATGAGTCCATTTCCTCTATGTCAGACTCGCTTGGCAAAGGCAGATGGGAAGCTTACACTTCCTTACTGAAAGCTAAAAGGCTAGGGGAAACTTTCCAAGACTGTCGCTAGTCTTGGATACCAAGATCAGCCAACATGACGGCGGATGCATTGGGGTCACAGAGATGTGCGATGTTTCTTGGGTCAACAAATCCCCATCTTCATTAGTTCATGTGCTTCAAAATGATGGTTTACCTTGTCCTCCTTAAGGTAGCAGAGGCAGTGGAAAGGGCGACACGCTAACTTGGTTACTGTGTCTTCCTTATAACTCCCTCTACTACCCGTTTTTGCTTACTGTTTGCTTGCCTCATTGTAGGCTCTCCTTGTACCATTTGACATCTTTGCCCGGGTTTTAATGTACCAGTTTCCCAAAAAAATAAAAAAAAAATTGAACTCATGTTATATAAATGTAGGGGTACAACTTGGTCGGGTTGGAAGGTCAACCCAATCCTAACCTAACTTTTACAATTCGGGTTTGGGTTCGTGTTGGGTTTCATTTGGGTTAGGGTTTACTTGGGTTGGGTTCGGGTTGCCCAATGTTTTCAAGTTTAATTTTGTAACAACTTAGTTTCCAAGAATTCCTAAAAAAATTAAGCCAAGTAGCATCAAAGCCTTTTATTCCCTAAAAACTTAAGTAATTATAAAGGGTAATTTATTAAAATATATATATATATATATATATATATATATATATATATATATATATATTAGAAAGCACGTTGGTTTTTGGACTTTGCTCACTTGGGTGTAGTATGAACATTAATTGATATGGGTTACAATCTGATTAAATTGGGTTTGGTTAGGCGGATTGGGTAGGGTTGGAGATGGACGGGCAAATGATCAACCCAACTCAGCCTAATCAATGAACGGGTTGAAATTGGGTTGGGTTCGAGCAGGTTATAACTAAAAAAACCCCACTTGTTTGGGTTTAAAGTCGGGTTGGAAATAGGCGGGTTTGGATTGGCCCAACCCAAGTTGTACCCCTATATAAATGCTTCGCTGCATGGTCTTAGTGAGATCCACCAAAAAGTAGAGGGCTACTAAGACCGCTTTGCCAAATGCTTCGTGTTTGCTTCACACCGTGTCATCTGCTTCGCCAAACCCTTCGTGTCTACTTTGCACCGTCGTCTGCAACCACAATTTCTTGAAATCCCATGCAACCACATTTTCTTGCTCGAAACGCTTCTTGGGTGGATCAAGTTTTAGGTCCTCGTTGAACGTGAGCCACAACATCCGTGCATCTAGAGAGAGAGAGAGAGGGAGGGAGTAGAGAGAAATAGAGATTGGAACCGAGAGGGAGTTGGATGGGAAAAGATGGAGAAAAATAGGGAGAGGGGACTGATGTTTATGGGGAAAAAATTAATAACAAAATTAATAAATATGAATTAAATAATATAATTAAAGTTTGTTAATTATCTTGTTTCTTATTTGGACATTGTATTGAACGCTTCACTAAATGAATTCAGCTTAGTCTATTTTAAGTCTGTTCAGTTTAATTTCTAAAGTTAGTCTAATCTAAAATAATATAATGTAAAAATAAGTTAGTCTAATCTAAAATAATATAATGTAACAATCGCCCCCTAAGCCTACAAGTGACCTGCACAAATTTAATGTTACTGTATGTATACTGGTAAAAGAAAGACAGAAATATGAATCTTGCTGGATTGACTTTTGCACTTGTTGGGCTACTGATTTTACGGAAACTCAGATCCTTTTCCTGAGAATGCTAAGGATTATGTGATCGTGACTTTTCATCGTACATCATGAGATCAATTTTCGTTAAGTACTATTTATATTTAATTTTAAATTTTAAAATAATTTCTAACCGAATTTGACTAACGAATGAGTAAATTATTTTCAAAAATCCATAAACTAATGATTTTAAGTCATTACGTCGAAGGTGTCAACTGCCAAAGGCTGCGGACACAAAGTAGCCAGCCTTTGGGAGCGTCCCTACTCTCGTCGAGTGAACCAAGACGCCCTGGCCTTGGGCTTTTGGTGACGCATGGCCTGGACGTGACGCTGTTTTCTGTGTCGGCTGTTTGTTTGTTTGTTTTTAAATTCTTGTATTTGTGTCCTTCCCACGTTCTCTTGTCCTTTGCTCGCTCCACTTTTCCTCACCCATTTTGTCACTCACTCACTCTATCATTATCAACCATCAAGCTACGAATACCACTACACTTACTCGTGACGGGAGCAATTTATATAGAACAAATTTACCGTTGTGAATCTCGATTTATGAAATATTGTTTTGTGAAAAAATTTTGTATATAACAATGCATTATTAGATGAGAACACCACGTGACAGTGAACTCATTTTATGTAAATCTTTCTTCCTCATGCTTAGGTATAACATCACAATGACGTTCCGTGCTAATAAATTAAAAATGGGTAAATTTTTATCCCGAGTGACCGTGTCATTGACGCCGGATATAAGTTGAGCTCATGTGTGTAATCCTTTAAACATATAGTTTCCTAGTATAGTGTATACCAAAATATTTGACATTGTTGAAGCATTAACACTTTGTTGATACGATGCATGCCATACTGAGAGCATAGAACTTTTCGCAAACAACATTTTCTAATTGGATTCCTTTAAATTTCTACTCTCAACATTCTTTTTCTTTGCTATTTGCACCATCTCAACATCTGAAGAACCGTAGCATTTCAACACCCGTTTTTTTATCATCGTTCTCTAAATTGGAGGGGTCGTGGAGGCCACAAGAGGAGGTCCCAACTCGCTATTGTTTCTGTGATACTTCTCTTTCTAATATCAGAAGAAGTTCCAACTTCGGATCCCCTCCTCCCGTTGACCGAAATAAAAAAGAAAAGAAAAAGGAGGCTTGATTGAAAAACCTATTGCAAACCTATTGCAATATTGTAATTCAAAATTCAATAGGTAAACTCTCAAAGTCAAATAACGCAAAAATTGAGTAAAATGCAGAACATACAAAACCCAAGAGCGGTGGTTTCCGGCATCGACCTTGGTAGCTTCAAAAATGTCGATTACTTGCCTGCCATTTGATACCCAAAACCCTAAAGAAGTATAAATTATAATCATGCAAAACCCAAGAAAATCCAGTGCCAAGTGCCAAAAGAGACGGTTCTGTCTCACTGTCTCCCCCAGACCTAAAATAAGAGCCTTCTTTCCAAGGAAAAACACAGATAATATATCCTTTTTTAAAAAAGAGGTGCAACGTCCAACATTCACGCCAAAGCCACGCTCACGAAATTGCGACTACTGTCAAACTCACAGAAAAACAACAATTTAGGAATCGAATACAGATGTACCCGATAAACCATGATTGGCTACTAAATAAACTTCGAATTCACCACTTTGAAAACATGTTCAAGTTCAAACTGATCATGTATCTGAATACTAATAAAGAGGGAATAACCAAACTTCGGAATGTCAACTATAAATTAAAGATAACACCAGCTAACCACTACAAGGAGGTTGCATATCTGGCTGGTTCTCAGGAACGAGATCTTTCCCGTGGTGGGGGTGAACGGCTGCAATATCAACAACAAAAATATACTCAGAATGGTGCTAGTATGTGTATACACGTTCACATATAAATACAATCTTGACAAATCATGCAAAGGAAATAATCCATGTTAAAAGAGATGGATTCTGACGGTGTCCTCTAGGGATTTAAACACATGGTTAAACATGATTTCATTAATGCATTAGAGCACCCCCACACGTCTTAAAGGATAATAAGATTAAAGATCATACAATTGAGAACTAAAAGTTGAGATCTTAACAAACCTGTGGTATTCATCATTGACGGGGCTTATAGCTCCCTCATCACTGGGACTTCGTAGTTCAGGTCTAGAACTTGGACGGGATCTATCATTGACTGGGCTTGCAGATCTCTCATAATCGGGACTTCTTCTAGGACCGCGTCTAGAACTTGGACGGGATCTATCATCGACTGGGCTTGCAGCTCTCTCATAATCAGGGCTTCTTCTTGATTCAGTTCTAGAACTTACTCGGGCACCATGGCCATAATCAGGGCTTCCCCTATCTCTGCGGTATGGACTTGGAGATCGCCCACGATCATTGCTTCTTCTCTCAGGAGACATATCACGGCCCCTCCTGTCAGGACTGTGCCCATTTCTTTTATCATCATCATCATCACGAGCAGCATATTCCACAGAAATAACCCTGTCCATGAACTTGCTGAATTTCAAAAATAAGTTCACTAAAGTTAGTATAAAGCAAGTTGTAATTGTAGAGGCGTGATAGCCTCATCTAGGCGACAGCCTCACGGTACCTAAAATTATTATAATACTTGATATATATATATATATATGTATATGTATGTATGTATGTATGTATACACGCACACACATACATACATATAATATTGTACATTTTTTTGAAGAAAGAATATAACATAATTTTGTAAAACAATCAAGCAAGCATGCCAAGCAATCAAATATTTGACTATTATTATTATTTCTAATTCACATCATAAAGTCATAACAAACTAATAGAAACTACGTTAGAAACATAAAATTAGCATGAATTTTATAAAACCCTGCCCAAAACGTCGTCTTATTGGATTTGGGCTGTCTTTTTTATTATATATAAAAATTCAAATGCCCAGGTCGCCTATGCGTTTAGGCTAGTCTATAGCCCACACCCACTGGGCAGAGGCGTTTTCTTCATAGCCCCGCCCCAAAAACCACCCAGGTGAGTCCTAAAACTAGGTTTTTAGAACACTGGTAGAGATGGATTCAGACAAAGTAGTCTTTTGCAAAATAAAGCCATTGAATATTTCACTTTTCGTTTAAGACCTTTTTTCATGACAAACCAAATCAGTGCATTTAATTTTCATTACAAGCATTAGAGGCTTTTTGAAGTAAAAAAATTTACAGAATTTTTCTGTTGCAATGATGGCTTGAAATTGAGGGGCCATTCTCCCTTTGAATTCACTTCCAAACAATTTGTCCAAAGGAAAAAATATCTGAACTTTTAAATCAAGCAAACAGCACTATAGAAGTTGTCAAGGAAAACAGAACCTTGTATTTGTTGCCTCCAGAGCTTTGGTAGCATCCTCCTGTGATTCATATTGAATGAAAGCAAAATTCCTTCTAATCCTTATGTTCGTTATTTTCCCGTAGGGATCAAAGTGCCTCTCCAGATCCTTTGTCCTGGTATGGACTGGATCAAAGTTGATAACAAACAAGGTTTTTGCGGGCTTCATGTTAGCAGAAGGTCTTCTTGAATCAGGTCTCCTAATCCCTCTTTCATGCTTCAACACAGAATAGTGTAACTAAATGAGTGAAAAAAGTCAAAGAAAATAATCAAGTAAAGCTTATCACATATAGTTTATCCATTTTATCACATGTAGTATGAATTTATATAATTGAAAGAAGTGTAAAGAAACATGAAGCAGTTACAACATACGTACCATTTGCATGCATGAACTTAGAAAATGAAAGGGAGTAGAAGATATGGCTTTGATTGACACAATCACAATATTAAAAAATATGTAAAGGAAAAGGTTAAGTAAGAAGTCACATGTTAGACAGAAAAGTCAAATTCTAGTATTATACTTGTATGTGATAGGGATTGTGCTATGTGCAATGCCAACATTCTCAGAAGTATGCTATGCAACTGACCATAAAATCCTAAATCATTTTTCTGAAACCCAACCACATGTTCAACTTTACCTTGGTCCACTCAATACGAAGTCGCCGTCCCTTCCTACCAAATTCTGTCCTGTCAAGTCTTCGAATTGCATACTCAGCATCTCGTTCGTCGTCCATATAGACGAAAGCAAATCCTATTTAAACCAATATATATATATGGAAGCAATCTATTAAAACCACCGTGTGAAGTAACCACAGACTGTACAACAAAGTCACCAAAACATACTTTTTAATGCAAGTTTGTTAGGCATACATCTAAAATATAAGGAAATTTTAATGTCTCATACACTAAACAAATTATACGCATACAAAATCTTCTGGTAGGAAGTAACACAAAACCTGCCAGTGGGTGCGATATCATCATGGAATCTATGTCGGAAATTGAACATGGAGCAAAAGTCATGATGAATGAAAAAGCAATGGTGTCTGAGGGAAAGTATGATGGCAGGAGTAAGGCAGATCAGATTAATTCTTCTGGAAAAATACAATTAGTGATGCTTGGGCACATGCTACAAAAGAAATGTAGATAAGCGGACCCATCCAAGAAGAGCATAGACATTCCAAGTAATCCTGCGCCAAAGAAATTCTTGAGTACAGGGGTTTGCACTGCAATAAAAAAGTAACCTGTTTCTCTGAAAGGGAAAATAGCGAGTACACCCATCCAAATAATATTCTAACGAATAACATATTGCCCTTTTGAGTAACAGCTGAAATCTTTCCTTTGCAAACATGTCCTTTTTAGAATTTACTCCAACCAAACAGCCCAGAGAAAGAGCTCAAGCTTCTCAGTTCTCAGCATGAAGGAGATGTCATGTGCATGAATGCACTGCAATCTCATCCTAGTTTTTCCATAAAGGCATATCTCTCATACATTTTCAATTTACAGAGAAAGGGAATTTCTGCATATCAAGATTTTGAAAAGAAATGGAAAAAGGGCCAAGGAAGAAAACCAGACTTCATGTTTTATGCATGTATTTGCTGCTATACAAAAAGGGTCAATGAGCCAATCTTAAAATAATCATTTTTCATTTTTGCAGTCATACACACATTTTCCTTTCTAGACATACCAGGAGGCGAATAAAGCCAGAATAGTCTTTCAGACACACAGCAGAAAATCATGAAAGTAGCAGCTGTCACATTTGCACGGTGGTAAAAGTCCCCCATTAAATAACTCTGCTGCTGTAGGACTTGCTGATAAACCCCGAAAACACATTTATTTTTTCTCTACCCAAAATCCTTATCATCTCATAGGGATAAATTGAAGGTGCTCAAACCCCAATCTGCACTAACTATAAAGACCATATCCCAGCAGGATGATTCAGTAATGACCCACTTCAGATTTCATCACAATAAACATAACGAAACTTTTGAACATAACCTTGGAACCAAAAGTAGAAATCAGATAATATAGCTCTAAAATCCACAATAGCTTAAAATAACTACAAGGCTTTAAGTTTGGCCACTAAATTCATATGCAAAAAAAAAAAAAATGTAAACGAAACAACACAGCACAACAACTATGCTACCAACAGTCAACAAAACTAGTAATCTCGATAAAGAACTAAAACAAACCGTTACGAAAACACAGCGAAAGTTTAATTATTTAACCAGAGAACTTATTTACCAGACTTAATATCCACCCTCTCAACTTTCCCATATCGCTTGAAAAGCCGCTCAACATCTGACTGCCGCGCGTCAAAATCCAAGTTGCCGCAAAATATTGGCTTCATTTCTTCAAGCTTCAAACTTTCCAACCCTTCCAGATACAACAATTAGACAATTAAGTAAGTAGTTTTGTCACCGGCATTTCTACAAACACTTGGTGAGCTTTCGAACTCCAAACAGCACCAAATGTACCACATGGAAAAACAGAAATAAAATTCCATAGATAAAAAGTGTAAAATTGTGACTTTAGCAACTAATTAAATGATACGAAGCTTAATTACACAGAAAATTGAGTAAAGTTAGTCAGGGAGAGGATAATTTGTAAAACCCTAGCGTGAACGAGCAGAACAAACCTAGATCTGCTGAAGACATTGAAAGGAAAGCATCTGAGCTTGGTTTTCGTACCTTAAGTCGATGGCGATGGAGAGAGCTCAGAGAAACCCTAGGAATAATTGGGAATGGGCTCAGTGGAATCGATTTGTAGCTCCAAGACAATTTTCGGACAGATTTTGTCTAAAAGAGGAGACGTCAATCGAGCGGCGACGTATGAGTCTGATGCCAGCCCTATTTCTTATTAGCGCAAAAGGTGATTTTCAAAAGAAAGATAAAAAAATAATAAAGAAAACTGATACACCCACCTCGCAATCCTGTACATTTTCACCCTCATAAAAGGTCAAAAAAATTTAACTTTCCCACCCACTAAGGCCTGGTTTGGTACTGAGGTGATTCTGAAAAAAGCTGGTATCAAAAAAAGCTGGAAGCTGTTTTTGCGTTTGGTAAACATTCAGCTTCAGCTTTTTTTCACAGTTTTGGGTGAAAAAAAGCCAAAAACAAGAAGCTGCAAAACCCAGCTTTGAAAAACTGGCTTTTTTTCACATCTGTTTTACATAAAAGTTTACCAAATACTATAATACTGCTTTTTTTTTTTCAAAAGCACTTTTACAAAAAAGTTTACCAAACACTCTGCTGCTTTATTTCACAGCTGCTTATTCTCACAGCACAGCAGAAGCAGTTTTTTTTCAAAGCACAGCAATACCAAACCAGCCCTAAGACTCTCTCCAACCTTGGGCTAAATGCCAAAATACCTCATTTATTCCCTGCCTCGCAAAACACCACCCAACTCAAGCAAAAACATTGGGCTAAAAGCCAAATGCTAAAAATGCCCCCCCCCCCACCAAGATTCCCCCCACACACGTGTCCAAAAAAGGCCCAATCTTGGCCCGCTCACTCGTCCACGCGCCCGACAACAGGGGGCCCACTATTAGACTCGCCCAAAAAAGGCCCAATCTTGGCCCGCTCACTCGCCGACGCGCCCGACAACAGGGGGCCCACTATCAGGGCCGTTGTCGGCCACATCCTCGAGCCCAACGGCTCTTTTCCGAATCCAATGGCAAGAATTTAAGGACCATTGGTTGATCTAACGGTCTAGATTCAAATTTTATTTTTTTTAAATGTTATTTTAAATTACATTGAATCCAACGGTTGAGATCGAATATAATCAAATGTAATGGTAAAAAAAAAAAAAAAATCTAACGGCCCATATTTAAATTCAACAGTTAAAATAATTTAAAAAAAAAAACTATTTCACTCAAAATTCACCAAAAAAAATAACTCTATAAATACCTATGTATTTGTTCAAACATCTATAAAATAAAAAATAAAAAAATAAAAAATTCAATTTTCTCCTACAATTCTTTCAATTTATCTTTCTACCATTTATTTCCATTTCCAATTTATCTTTCTAGCATCCGAAATGCAAAAGTGAGCTTCTGATGAGGTGATAGATTTTGTCGACAACAACATCTATCCTCCTTGCAAAGTAGTGGTCATGATTGACAATTACATTCAAGATGCTATCAAAAAGCTCTTTCCTCATCCGAAACCGCCTCTGAAAATCATGAGTAGGAAATCTCGGATGCTCTATGAAATAATCTTTCATCATTCGGTCATGACACTTTTCTCTATCACGCTGCACAAATGAACGTCCCGTGACAGAACCACGATTGCTAGATTCGGCATGGTGCTCATATTACATAAGCGAGTTTGCAAGTTCAGCTTCGGTGTTGATCATTTCAGCATCCTCAATGTCAAGCCTTGCTTGGTATTGTGCCATCTGCATTGCCCTGCTACGCCTTCTTCTATCACCCATTAATGAGATATTGAGGATTTTTAGGAAACAAAAACACTTTGAAAGTTGAAAGATTGGTGAATATAGAGGATGATTGAAGGTTGAAAGATTGTGTGATCAACTGATATTGGACTTATGTTTATATATAAGATGAAAGTTGAACACCTGTGTGTTATATAGAGGATGAAAGTTGAACGATTGGTGAAAGTTGAATGTTTGATTTGTGGAAAGATTTAGTGATTTTTCAATATTTATCAGAATTTAAATATTTTTAGATTAAAATGTTCATAAAATTAATTTACGATAGTCTACATAATTTTAAAAAAAAAAAAGTTAATTTAAGAAAAAAAATTAGCCTAAGTTCATTCTTTAATAATCTCAGGCTAAAATTTTAGGCCAGAAGAGTTAGAGCAAAAAAACTATTTATGGGCTAAAAGCTAAATTTTCCAGGCTAAAAAATTTGACTTTTAGCCCAAGGGTTGGAGATGGTCTAATATTCTTAAAATATCCCAGCATCAACTTAACTATCTTTTTTTTGTTTTGAAGGATGAGGATAGGGGAAAAAAGAGGGCAACTAGGGTTAGGGTTTTGTCCGTGGGATTTTGAATCTTACAATTCGATCCCAATTACGTTAATTAGTTGGATAACTTGGTTTTTGATATTGAGGAATCGCGTTTTGGGGGCAATTAGAGTAATTTTCAATTGAGCTTATACAAGTAAGTGTCATGATTAGAAATGGAGTCGAAGGGGCTGGCGTGCTTCAATTTGGAAATTGAGATATTTGGAAAAGCTAGGGTGCTCTAGTTGTAATTGACCCAATAGGGTCTTCTTCGAATTCTCTTTGTGAAGATTTCAGAGATTCGTAAATCGTGTTTGTTCATCATATATCGTGCAATCAATTTTCGTCAGGTACTGTTTGTATTCAATTTTATATAAAATAATTTCTGACAATACGATTTACAATGAACGAACATAATTTACAGATTTCCAGAATCCTCATAAAGAAGATCATAAAAGAATCCAGATTCTTATTTGACCTAATTGTAGTAACTCTTTATTTTGATCGATTCGGTTTCCCATATATGTGGGTCATTGAGTGGTTTAATTATTGAAAGAAGCCGGAATCCGGATGGATTTCCAAGGAAGGATTGCGGGCAAATAATTGACAATGAGAGGCGGATAAACATCAATTTAAGTATACTGACTTTGAGAAGATTACTTATCGTGTTTAATTTGTTGAGATATGAAAGTAATCATTGTGTGGGTATATTATTGGAGAGATTTTTCAATGTTATCGGTACACGGAATTGTACATTATGTATCACTATACAAAAGATAAGATATGTGTGTTAAAAAGTTAATAACTTAAAAAATAAAATTTCTCACCACTTCTATTAAAACACGTGATGTATCACTTGTGTTCTCGTTGCAATGAAAAATTTCTCATATTCTTGGGGTTGGAAATTTGTTATTTTTCTTACTATTTGTCGTTTCTCAAGATATGTCCAGCCACTATTTTGATAATCATTTGGTTGAGTGTACTAGACTAGAGGGTGTTTGCTGGTTTCTTTGGACTCTCTAACGTCTGGCTTTTGTTTAGAAAAAAAAAAACAAGGAAGAAGAATTAGCCAAATATATCAACAAATGAGAAAATTATTCCATGTTGTGTAGCATTAAATGATACGACTCTTAATGATTTAGATTTATTTGAATTATTATTTGTGTTGAGGTCTTATAGATTTAGATCATTCAATGCTCGTACCATATAATACTACGTAGCACTTAAAAAAATGGTAGCTTGAAGGATTAGTAGTTTAAGGCATAAGAACTTAATGATAATGATAGAAAGATCAAATTTTTAAATCAAATGTGTAAATCAAATGATGTGTCATCAATAGAAAATAAACACGGTAATCAACACTTGGACCATCTTCAACCCTTGGGGATAAGGCTTAAAAATTTAAGCTAGAAAATTTTAAGTCATAACCCAGAAATTGCTTTTCTTTTCCAACCCTTTATGGCTTAAAGTTTTAGCTCAAAATTACTAAATAATGATTTTAATCTAATTTTTTCTTTTGGGTAATCTTTTTGAAAATAAAATTTATGTAGAATATCCTAATTTATTTTTATGACCATTTTAATATAAAAATATTTAAATTTTGATAAGTAATTAAAATTCATACAAATACATATGTATTTATAAAGTTTTAAGTTAAATTTGATTTAAATAATTTTCTTAAATTATTTTAAACATTAGATTTAATTTTGAACCGTCAAATCTTTTCTTACCATTAGATTTGGTCTCATTTGATCATATCCGTTAGATTATAAGTAAAAAAAAAAAAAAATTGAAATATGACAATTTGGTGGATCCAAAATAATTTAAGCCAGGTATAAATCCTGGAGGAAATCTAGCCCAAAGATATATTTTATCCCTAGAGCTTATTTTAGCCCAATGATTAAAGATGGTTTTGAGGGGTTTTAAAGCTTATATTTTAAGCTTTATCCTATGGGTTGAAGATAGTTTTATGTAATAATCAAATCATCAACATTCACATTATTTGTTTTACAATTTAATTTCTCTAACATTACCCAAAACTTTATTCATTTAATTAAGGGAGTTTTAATGAAACACTCTCGGTATTGTTCACTTTTAACGAAAAACCACATTTGTCACATCCCGCCCCGGGGCGGACCACTTCCCGCGCCCGCTTCACCACCGTAGCACGATATTGTCTACTTTGGGCTTACCATTCCCTGACGGTTTCATTTTTGGGAACTCACGAGCAACTTCCTAGTGGGTCACCCATCATGGAATTGCTCTAGCCCCCTTCTCGCTTAACTTCGGAGTTTCTACAGAACCCGAAACCAGTGAGTTCCCAAAAGGCCTCGTGCTAGGTAGAGATGAGAATATACATTTAAGGATCACTCCCCTGGGCTATGTGAGATGTCACAATAGCAATTCCATGATGGATGACCCATTGGGAAGTTGCTCGTGAGTTCTCAAAAACAAAACCGTGAGGGAATGGTAAGGCCAAAGCGGACAATATCGTGCTACAGTGGTGGAGCGGGCCCGGGAAGTGGTCCGTCCTTGGTCGGGATGTGACAACATTTTTACTTTTCCTGGCTACCATTCACTATACATTTATTTTGTCATTTTTTTATTAAAACTAAATTTTTTTTATAAACTTTTCGTTAATTTTTCTTTTAATTAAGAGAGTTTTAATGAAAAGCTCACGGTACTGTTCACTTTAATGAAAAACTGTACTTTTACACTAAAAAGTCAATCCTGATAGTATTCATTTTATCATTTATTTTATCCTTATTTTTAAAACTTAAAATTTTCAAATTCTTTTTATTAATTTTTCTTTTAATTAATTGGTCCGCCTTCAGCAGCTAAATGTTCAAAGAAACTGCGCACAGTTGTCACATCACCATTTTTATTTTTTTGTGGCGATTAAGTCATCCTTACGCAGGCGTGAGTAAAATAGCCAAGCACTTATCGTTGACACGGAGAATGGTGTCCTTTCTTTGTCCAATAAAACCCTATACACGTCCTTTTTCAAGCTGAACTTATGCTTTATACAACTATAAAACTAGGTGGCATGACCAAGTTACGAGTCTACAAACTAAAAAAGCTAAGTACAGATAATCTTTGAGTTACGGGTTACATTCAAATGACATATGAATGCTATACATAAGTTCCTTAACTCTGCTACTAACTTACAAAACCCTACTATTTAGAAAATTACTCGTACTCCAAAATTATAATTAAATATTGAAACTTCCAACTTCTCCAAGATCATGGACCTATAAAAAAATAATCAGAGCAAAGCGAAACTTTCAAACTTCCAAAGTGAGGCGAAGTCAAATTTGGTAGGTATGACTGGTGGAATTTTTATATGACAACTGATTAAGATCTTATAACCTTCCATAACCAAAACCATTAAACTATGTCAACTGAGTTTTAGTCTTTGTTTTTATTATTATTTTTCCCTTTATGTACCAAAGAGTACACACACACACACACACACATATATATGCACACACACATACGATGACTTATATTTTAATTGGATGCCAATCATGCCTTCCACGAGTCGATCCAAAAGACAGATTACACTGAATAAATAGCTTTATGTTAAAAGATTCATTCCTACCTTGGCTCCTTCCAATAAAACCTGAGAGGAAGACATAAAGCAAAAATTGATGTTGCTTTATATTGACATTTGTACGTCTTTCACAACCAACAAATCAATAAAAGTATAGATGGTATATATGTTTAGCTGCAAAGAATCGTGCCCTTTATCCAAAGGGATCCTCATTGTTGGACAAAAATATGGACTAGTTGTAATGCCCACTTCATGTCGAATTTCAACGATCCGAGTTGGCTATTTTGTAAGCTTCGATTCATAGATCATTCTTGCAAAAATTCAATTTAATCCGAAATCATTTGCTTATTTAATTATCACGTCGAAATTTCATTGTTTATTGTTGAACAAAGTGTTTGTCAATTTCCTTGAATTCAATTAGATAGTTCAAATATGGCTAATATTTTGCAAAGATAATCTATAAGGTTCAACTTGAAAAAATAAACGGTTCAAATCGTTGAAGTTCTATATGATATGAATCCCACAATTAATCCCTGTTTTCATAAAAATTTGAGATCCCTTCCTTTAAAGGCCTCCAAAAGAATAAATATATGTTAGTGAAACTTTTAGATATTTGTTTTGTCATCTGTTTCACGCGCATGAGCTACATTAGCATCACGTAACGAAAACAAAGATGCATAAAGCAAGGTGCTCATATGAGAATGAGAATCTAGTGCATAGGACACGTAGCTTGACATCTTCCCAACTGTTGAATTACAACTGTGACATTTTTTTTTTTTATTCTTTCTCATAAATGTATTCGCTAGTGGGGGAAAGAATGGCACAATTTGATTAACATGAGTTGCTACTTTTTTCGTGAAACCTATTATTTTTTTGGGTTAGATGTAGCCTAATTTTTTGCTGCCCAATGAAGAAAATTGTTAGCCCAAGTGGTGGATTTAGTCCCATTTTCTAGCTCATTGGGTATTCAATTTTTCACTAGGGCTTCAAATGTAGTAGTCTTATGAAGGATAAACAACCCACAACCACAACATCCACATGTAGCCTAATTTTTTGCTGCCCAATGAAGAAAATTGTTAGCCCAAGTGGTGGATTTAGTCCCATTTTCTAGCTCATTGGGTATTCAATTTTTCACTAGGGCTTCAAATGTAGTAGTCTTATGAAGGATAAACAACCCACAACCACAACATCCACCCCCCCCCCCCCCCCCCCCCCCCCCGCAAAACCAAAACACACACCATTGGGGAAGTTCTAAGCGTGTAAAGAGAGGCCAAAATTTCTACACCCAAAACTCTTGTGGCCTCTCTCCTACCTCATTGCTTGACATCTGTTTCCAAATTTAACCCCATCTAACTCTATTAACTCTTAATAATATTAAATACAAGATAATGTTATGAGGACCAAATTTTAAACCAAATTTCTAAACCCTTAAATAAAAGTACAAGCAAAAATTAAAGAAGGAAGAATCCCAGTAACCATGCCTCCGACGACCACTCACCCACCGTAAAAAACCACCCCAAACCAACCTATTGCATCTCATTCCCTCCATCACCTCAACCAGGCCTCCCCCTCTCACTATGTCTCACTCTCCATCTTTATCTCTCCCCCTCTTTGTGTCGATCTTGCAACAATCAATACGCCTGCTCACATCATCACTAGATCCGGTCTAATTCAAGCGCCACGATACTGATTTAATTCAACAAACCAATCATCAAATACTTGGGGTGCAACCTATATAAGGCCATCTCCAATGAAGATGGCTAAAGGTCCAAAAGCCAAAAAATGATTTGATTTGCTAAAAAACTCATCTCCAACCGATTTATAGACATCACGGCAACCAAATGTATCCCCTCTTAGCCCTTTTTAGGGTCTAGCTGCAAAAATTGATTCAAATTCAACGGTTAGAAATGAAAATCCAAAGGTAGTTTAATTAAATTAACCAATAAATTTAAAGTATAAATTTAAAACTAATAAATTATTGAGTGGGCTATATTTAGCCCTTTCAATTGGAGCTGGTGTATGAGTATGACCTGACAATGACAAAGTTAAATGAGATTAAGTTTGAAGATGTGTCAAGCAATGAGAGATAACACACAATTACCGAAAGTTTTGGATGCAGAAAATTTGTATTAGTGTGACTTTTTTTTAAGTGCATCTATATTTATGTTTAATATTGTAATTGAATAAATTAAAAAAAAAACCTAATTTATGGAAGTAAAAAAGAAAGAAAAAGAATGCACGCAAATTATTGGCATGACCATCTTTAAAGGAGATGCAAATATGACAAATATGATTAAAAGATATTCAGGTGTTCTTTAATGAATATGCCATACATGATGTAGCATGTGAATCATTTGACTCCTTACTTTTTAGTTTTTTTTTTTTTTACAGCAAACAAAGAATGAGTCAAGTATATTTAAGTTAATTTTTTAATACGCGAGTCTCGTTATTAACTAATAGAATAAAAACTAAAACTAATTTTGATTATTTTTTAATAGTTAATGTAACTCTGGGTTCAATAAAATAATAAAATAAATATTTGATACATCTATTAAAAAATAAGAGAATTTAGCATTTATATTCAATTTGTCATATTTATCATAAAAAGAAATTTAATATTTTATATTTGACATCTCATTAGAAGGGACTTGGCTTCTCTGCCCTCCCAGTTCTCATACACTTCCATCCCGTCATATTTTGTACGATCACGGTTAAGCCATGTCAACATTTTATATTGATTTGTTTATAGAGATAATAAGACAAAAAATAATAGTGATATAAAATATTAACGTGATTTAACCGTGTTCATACAAATAGAAAATAATGAGAGTGTATGAACCAGGAGGGTAGAAAAGTCAGGTCACTATTTTGGACCCAAGTCCAAGCCTTACCGAGTAGTGGTTGAGAAAGTACAGAGAGATGCAAATGCTAGAGGCAATACGGATTCTCTTCTTCTCCTCTGAGATTTCTATGTACCTTAAACAAACATATGGGAATCTTATCAAATAAAAAATCCAAGTTTTAACCGTTGGGTTATGTACAATCCCCCCGTTAATACTTGTTGGGTCCCATTGAAATGGACCCATATGGGTTTTTATGCAACCCCCTGTTGATACTTGTAGAAGGATGCAGCACCCCACTTTGTTTTTGCTTTGAGTCCACCCAAAGCGATTCAGATTCCAAATGAGTAACCCTTTTTTGCTTCAGACTGTTGTTCCTGAATCTTTCTATTCAAAACCAGCCATTTCTGGATAAATCCTGATCTGGGTTTTCCGTGAAACTTCATTTTCCATTAGTTTTCACCCTTCTTTTGATATTTTTAAGTTCTGGGTTTTCATTGTTTTAGAATTTTAGTGGGGGGTTTCAGCTTTTTAGTGATTGGGGATTGTGTGAATAGTTGGGAATTTCGCAGATGATGGGTTCGGGTATGAACTTGATTACTACTGTGATAGGTTTTGGTATGAGTGCAACATTTATCGTGTTTGTTTGCACAAGAATCATCTGTGGGAGGCTGAGAGGTGGCGAATCGCGGCCTATGTTCGAGATTGAATCAAGGGTTGATCTTGAGCAGGTATGTGATGGATTTTCTGTGCTGAACTATATTTGTTTCCTCAGATGAGAATGATCTGATTTGGGTAATTTTCCCAGTTTTGAGCATTTTTTTTTCTGTAGGAGTTTCTGTTTTGACTTGGTTATGTATATATGTATGATTGATTACTTCCCAATTTAGCATCTCAATAGCATACTTGTGTGAGCTTTTATGTATGTATTTATTCTTATATGCGTTATTCTATTCTAAATTACTCTAATTTACGACCTTTTAGGTGTTTATTATGTTCTAGTTTTGATATGAATTTTTGCTGCGGTTGAGAGTCAACTCTGAGAAATGGAAGAAATCATAATAAAAACAATAGATGTTGAAATGTACTAGTTTCCTGTTGCATGCCGAAAATGCAATTGCAGGATAAGGGAGAACAAATAAAAGATGATGGGCAAGTTTGGGATTCTGTCTTATTTCTTTTCTTATCAGCTTTCTTATTTGGACAGGCTGCTTGGTCAATAGCTTTTTTGACATTTGATTGTTCTGTGCTCCATAATATGAAGAATTCCTACCTAAAAGCCCACCATTTGGTTTTTAGTTTTCCATTTTAACTTTTGGTTTTTAGATTTTAGTTTTCGTTTTGTATTTTCCCATTCCATTCCTTTCCTTCCACATCTTTCCTACCGCTCTTCATCCTCCATTGTTTAGTCCTCATTTCTCTCCTGCATTTCCCTTTTATATATCTAACAATAACTAAAAACTAAAAACCAAATGGTTATCAAATGGACCTAAATTTTCGTGTTTTTCATTTTTGATTACCCGAAGACTAAAATATTTTCGTTTATGCCCTTTTGTATTTTTGCCCATTGCTATTGAGATTGATGTCATTCCACTAAAATTTTAGAGTTTTTCATCTTGTCAATAGTAACTGAAGTTTTGATCAATGGGTGCTAAGTTTGCATTGTTTGCTGGCAGCCAGAGCATCAGGCTAGTGGCCTTGAACAAGTTGTGGTTTCTGCAATCCCTACGATGAAGTACGATCAAAAGGCTTTCAGTTCCTTAGAAGATGCGCAGTAAGCTTTGCAGTTTCATTTCTCCTAGCGCCTAAGAACTCTCATATCGTTTCCTTCTTAAAATCTGATTTTAATATTGATTGACAAGTATCTTGAATTTAGAGGATGCTAGTTTGCCACACCTTTTTGTGAGATTTTCTTGAGAACTCATGCGTTTTGGACACTGGTGAGAATGTCTAATCTGTATGCTTTTGCAGGTGCTCAATATGTTTGGGGGAGTACCAGGAGAAAGAAGTACTGCGAATCATGCCCAAATGTGGCCACAGTTTTCATCTCTCTTGCATTGATACATGGCTGAGGAAACAATCTACCTGCCCAGTTTGCCGTTTACCATTAAGAGAATCCCTCGGAACAAAACATGTGAGGTCAGCAACATTTAGCGTGGCTCGATCTTTTGACAATTCTGAGATTTCAACTGAACATTCTCATCACTGGCTATTACCTGGCACAACTGAGCGTTCAGCAGGAAACGTTAGCAACCAAGGGCATTTAGAATCTGCTCCAGGAAACCCCTCTGAACCGACCCCATCTAGAGTAGAACCAGAAACAAGGCATTGATACAATCAAAGAGATTGGTCCATGGAACCAGAAAAGCGATTGCTTCTAGCGAGCAATGCTTTTTCATATGTGGAGATGCAGTAGGGTGACTGCCCTTTCTTTTTCCTTCCCTGTCGGCTGGGAGTTGTTTCACATGGTAGGCCGGGTAGGTTTGATTGAAGAATTCTCTTACGTTGCCTAGAATGTTGCTATCCATTGTAGATCGTTCGAACTAAAACTGTGCGACAGAACTCTGAATTTTTAGGTAGAGTAGAAAGTTTGAAAATGGAGCTTACTCATATAATCTGAATGCTGTATATAAGCGCTATTCACCTCTGTTCATGCTTTGTACGAGTCAATTCATTCTACTCGCTATCGGTGCATCTTATCTACGTCCTATTAAGTAAATGCATGTACCGTGGTAAAGTCCATCATTTACGTCCTAAGTCTTGTTTCTGCTAATGGGAAAATTGGTTTCTAGGGTTTTCAACTATAGATGATTATTTTTGTTTTTGGGTTTTGTGTGAGTACATTGATATTTTTACACTAAAGGAAGGGGGAGTGAGTTCGGCTAAGCCACACAATGGGCAGCTTAATTTGGTATCGAATTCGCCATCCACGAGATTCAAACCTAAGACCTCTCACTTCTAAGTGAAGAAGAATACCATTAGACTGTAGTACTGAGTGATTTCAACTATAGATGGTTAACTTAAAAGAAATTTCTCATATGATATATAGACACAATTGTAAAGCCCAGTCGATTGATAAGGGAGGGTCGGGATTTCCGGGTTCGGACATCTTCAAAGGACACTGCTTGGTTTACATGACTACGGACGTAGTTCTATAACACATACGTTATAATTCAAATTGTTTATTACTAATCATCATTAGAGATCATTTCTAGATCATTTCATTCCAAGATTGTATTCTTATGGATCAAACAAGTTAGATGATGTTATTACCTGTTACTGTAATCGTCGATTTGTTCGACATATGAATAGCTATAATCGTCGATTTGTTCGAATACCTAAAAGGTTTTGAAATAAATTAATTTCTAGAAATAATAAAGACAATGAATGGTTGGTTAAAGCATTTGGAGATATTTTAATATATAATTCGGATCATGTCATGGACGAGAGATATTCATTTTTCTTAAAAAAAAAGGACAATTGATGTCAAGAAAAAGGATCCCGGTTGTACCAAGAATCCCCTCAAATTGGCATGGCATCAAAACAAAAACCCAAACTGAAAACGCAATCTTTGATCCTAATCTACGAGTGTCGTCACACCTGTAAGCAAACAATTTATTGGAGAAGCAGAAGCAGAAGCCGAAGCCGCTTTCATCACTCTCCAGTTAATTTCATCACTTTTTAGTTAACACAACAGGTTGATTGATTTCTACAGATACTGATCACTGCAAAGATTGAGACTTCTCCAATGGAATCCATGGCAGAAGCAGACCCAGAACCACCACCGCTACCACTATCCGACCTTATCCTCTCCCTAGAACAAGCAACCCTCATGGCCAAACAGCTACCTTGCACCGCCGACCCCACCCACCTTCTCCACATCTACTCCTCCCTCCACCAAGCCCACCACCACCTCTCCAATTTTCTCTCCACACCCAAATTCCCCCAGCCCCAGCGGCAGAACTCCCTCTCCTCCGCCACCGGCAACGAGACCATGCAAGTCGGCGACTGCGACGATGACTGTGATGGCTTTGGAGAGGGAAATTCTGGGCCCACAATTGACATTGTTGAGGATTAGATGAGGGATTGCTTCATCAAGAACAAGCGGCCCAAAAGGCGGCTTTCTCCTTCTGCGGCCACCCTGGCGGAGGAGAGGCGGCTTAACGGTGATGGGTTTGTGGGCAGTGTGAAGGGTTTTGACCCTCAGGGCTCAAAGGAGAGGGCTTTGGAGCTTGTGTACCAGTTTCGTGGGTGAGTTGGGAGGAAACAGAGCAAAAACAGAGGAGTCGTATTGCATTTTGCACTGCGATGAATGCGATGAATCCGACGATTCGCAAGGACATGAATACAGTGAGTTTTTTGTTGTATTGTTTTTTCTAATTTATGGTTTTGTTTATGTCATGGAATGGAAATGTATGACATTGTGGGTTTGATGATTATGGATTTTCATCGATTTATAGAAACATTATTAGTAGTAATATGTTGAATGAGAAAATTGTTCTTCTTGTTCATATAAGTGCAAAAAATTTAATTGGGGGCAGCCTTCTTGCGGGTCTTATAACAAACATGACGACAAGAGTGATAATATGTTTTGTCAACTTCATAATATTACAGCATTATGCATTGCAACCATAATTATCAGTCAAATAAACTGCTTGAAACAAGTTTGCGAACGATTTCTTCTTTTACTAGGAACAGTATTTGGAAATTTTCCAGCTTGCTGTATATATTGTTGTGTTCACGATTGAGTGAAATATGCTGTAAGCCTGCAGCTCATGTGCTAGAGAAGGCTTGCTATCTATGTTGTTATACTTTAAACTCAAACTATGCAAACGAGATCATCCCTGGGTAGCTCTTCTTGTCTTGACTGCCAACCAATCACAACAATAAATTAGCAGAACATACTTGAGTCTTGACCAACATTTCCCCAAGCATTTTCAATCATCATCGGAGTGCATTTGTTCTGAACCGCAACATGTTGGATATCCGATTAAGTGCAGAATGAATTGTGTCAATACCTTAATCCCTAATTGATCATGCTATATGTCATCTACACATGGGAAAGAATCCAAATGATAACTCATGTATTGTTGGAGAATGACTACTCAAACCCTAGTCCTTACTACTGTATGCTAGATACCTGATAAGGTTGAGACTGCAATGGTTCTTCCCCTTGTTTCGTGTCAGGAACAGTTTTATTTTACCTTTTTGCCATCAAATTGTTTTCTATCTTTTTTGCCATTGAATCTTGCGTTTGGAAATCGAACAATCATCGAAGAGAAGCCTTCAGTGAGGAAATTGGGGGTTAAGTGTGGAGATTGCTTCAGCTTAAACTTAACAAAAGAAGCATCAACCTCCACCAGAAGAAAAAAATTCAGTTCAATCTCTAGTACTAGTGGTTCATCAATAATTATTAAAGTTTTGACTGAATTGTTCTTTGATGTTGTCAGCCCATTCAAACAAAAGAATTGTTAGACTTTCTTCCCTTGTTTTAACTGAATTGAATTCCTCTCTTTTCTGTTATAAGAAACAGAAAACATACACAATGGTAATTCTCCTTGTTTCCATCTCTCTTCATAAAAATTTCAAGGCTTCTTTCATATCCTTAGGGGGGCATCAGTACAACCGATAAGTGTATGTCCTCCTTCCTCGAACAAGGTAACCATCCCTGCCTTACTGTATCTATCACCGTCGTCCTTTGACTAATATGTGTACACACACTATTGTTACAGTTACGTTATTAGTCTGATTATTTATGTAAAGAATAGTCTAGCATATAGGCTTTTCTTCAGGTCGTCTCTGCTAAAGCACTAGAAACTATTTTCTAATCTGATGCTGCAGTGTCAAGTAAGATTCAGGTAGGGAAGTAGTTATCCAGTAATAAGGCCATTGTAAAGTTTTCGTATGCTAAGCCAGGTTACCATTTATAAACTTGTGTCATTTAGTTTTTGTATTTTGCACTGAAGAAAGAAAGTTTAGTGCCCAGAGCATATGTAGCCAGACCGGATGTAAAGGGTCAAGGTCTCTCGGTGCCAGGCACCATGTAGTTATTTGCTAACTTCAACTATAACGGATTTTTGTATTCTTTGGCCTTTCAAAAAATTTCATCATGTAGAACAAGTGTTTGGTTGAAAGACTAATTATATTTCTCATTTTTCATGTAGTTTCACCTTGCAGTCAAGATATGCAATTCAAACCTTTCGAATTAGAAATTAACACGTGGAATAGCTGTGCCCCAATTGATGAACTACAGGCTAAAGGGTTTTCTACCCCTACCGATTGAGGAAGGTGAGTAAAACTTTGTTTCTCAGTGTTATATTGTTCTTGTTGTTTGCATCGGCAAAACTAATCAGATTCTTTCTGACTATAAATTTTTATGGGTTACTATTGTTTAGTCTTGCATCATCAATGAAGTATGTTTTCTTGTTAAATTATGAATTGGGTGTTCGTTATAGTAATTCTTCATCATAACAGAAACTTCAAAAACACAAAAACATAATCTTGAATTCTGTGTATGAACTTCAATTGGAATGATCCTCTTACTCGTCAAATGAGTCTTACAACAAAACACAAAACATAAACATTTTGGAGCATGTTTGCTAAACATTTTGTTTTTTAGCTGAAATAGAGAAGATATTGGAGAAATGACAGGGAGAAAAACATGTGATCCCCTTTGGCCCACCCAAGCATTTCCATATGTTCCCTTCACTGAAAAGATACAATTACTGCAGCTAAATTCAAAATGAAAAGTCTTCTCAAAAAAAAAAAAAAGAAAAAAAAAGTCATTTAACCTTTCTATTTAACTTGTAAAAAATGATTCTGAATATATTACCATGCTATCACCATTCAAAATAGCTTTACATACGCAAGAACACATGCATATACTATGAATAATGGTTAGTATCGAAAACTTCTTTTGACTTTAAAATTACTTTGAAAGGCAAACAAAGCGGGTTTTTCTTTCTCAAATTTCCATATAAAATAGCATTTTTTAATTTACTTTGAAGAGATAAATTAAGGGAGTTTTAACCAAACACTCCCGATACTGTTCACTTTAACGAAAAACCAAAGTAAATCCTGGCACCATTCACTTACAACACTTTTTGTCATTTTCGTTAAAACTCAAAGTTTTCAAGCCCTTTTCATTAGTTTTCCTATAAATTAAGCCATGGAAACGGTTTTTTGTGGGAGACTTGTGGTGCTAATGTTACTTACTATCGCTGTGCATGTTCTATTCTATCAATACTAATGATTGTGGAAGCTGATGATCTTCTCTTCATTTCTCTTCACATCATTCCCCAATTCTCTTTTCACTTGCTTCTAATTCTAGTGAAGACTTTAAAGTTACAAGTATTATCCCCACATCGGTCATGATATTTAGTCAAATTCCCGACAACACGAAAGAAAAATTTGGGTTAGGCAGAATTAGGATACTCTTGTCCGAGAATTGGTTCATTTTCATGAATAGATATTCTTGTTTCTGGGAAAGGAAGTGAGATTTCAAATGCCTCACAAAATGTAAATGCCACATATGTCTTCCATGTGGTAAATGATGCATACAATAACCTTGTACAGAGTTATGTTGTTGCAGATTTTAGGCAGATTGGTAACCTTCTTGGTGATCATGACATAGGGCTATTTAGGCAGACTGGGTCTTGATGTTCTTGCATACTTGCAATCTAATCTTTTTGAAAATACCATAGCAGATCCTGAGTTCTGGACCTGGTTAGCCATGGCACATGCACTGGGGACAGCATATCTTGGAACTGAGAAAAGAATTATGGAGAAATCAAACAAGTAGGTTTTGGGGTGTTAGTAGTTTCAAGTGATAAATCAATATTTAATGTACTTTTAGGGCAAGTAGATGTTGGTGGCGGCCAATGTTGCGAGTTCTAGGGCCATTATCTATTGTAAAAATGGTATGCTTAGACCATCTCCAACTATAACCCGCCGCCACACCAACCTCCCCCCCCCCTCCCCCCCCAAAAAAAAAAATCCAACTAAACCCAAGCTTAAAACTGGACCTAAAACCTAAAACCTAAAACAAAGCCAGATTTAGCCCAGGATTAGTGGGGCTGGCCCACCATATATGTATATTTTATTTAGTGTGATATTTATAAATTCATTGAATCCAACGGTTAAAATCTAATTTGATGAAATTCAACGGTAAAAACAAAAATTTAACGGTCCAAATTTAAATCTAACGGCTAAAGTAATTTAAAAAAAAAATTTTATGTGTTTCATATTTTTTCATAGTGTTTAACGAGTTTCATGGTGTCTGTTAATGATTTTTCAGTATTTGTCAGAATCTAAATATTTTTAGGTTAAAATTTTCATAAAATTAAATTAGTCTCCATAATTTTTTCTTTTAAAAAAGTTACTTTAAGAAAAAAATTAGCCAAAGTTCATTCTTTAATAATCTGGGCTAAAATTTTAGGCCAAAAGGGTTGGAGTAGAAAAACTGTTTCTGGGCTAAAAATTTTAGGTTTTAGGCCAAGGATTGGAGATGGTCTTAAAGAAAGTGTCATAAACAAGAAAGGTGGTTCTTTCGGGGCATCATGGTTAACAAGGGTGTTCGGTGTTACACACATGAAGAAATATATCAGTTGCGATTCTCACGGGGTTGTGGAGACGATAGATGATGAAATAGAGTTCCTTGTGTTGGCATACGGAAGTGATGTCCAACCAAAAAGTTGTGGATTCCGTCATACAAATAAAGATTGTGCATAAAGCAGCAGAGTACCTTACACAAGAGGCACAGAATATGACGAGCTATGATCGCCATGCTGGTATTTCTTCTATAATTGTAAGATTTTGGTGATTATTTACAAATCTGTCATTGGGTATTTGCGGGCTTGCCATTCTGAACTAAGCACACGCGTCTATCATCCGGGTGTGTTTTGCTTCCATCTTCTCTGTGACACTCAACCTCTCTATAACCCTTTCTCTTTCACTCTTTTTCGGACTCTGCATCTCTCTCGATCCTCACCGTGTTCACCTTCTCCATAAAACCCAGAGGCCGAGAGGCTTGAGTCCACATCACAACTCGCCACTCCGGCAGCCTCAATTCCATCAAACAGCTACTAGCTGCTGGACCTCCCTCTTTCTCTTCTCTGTAAACACCGAGGCGCACCAACGTCCCCATTTTCCGGCAAAACATCACCACAGAACCACCACCATTCACTCCGTTCTACTCAGGATACACAGGCGAAGGCCTTTCACTGCGCAGTCAGTTCTAAAATGTCTGGTTTTGCCGTGACGGGTTATCGGGTTCTTGCGTCGGGTTGTTCAAACGGGGCATTCAGGTATTGTATTTATTTGATTAATTAATTAACTATTTATTAATTATATGTTTTGATTTCTTTTGGGTTTTTTTATTTTTTATTTTTGTATATTTCTGTTTTTCTTAATTAGTCTGAAATTTGGATTTTTAAGTTTTGCATTCATGCAACTTTAGGCTTCTGGGTTTGTTGTTTTAGAGCTAAAGAAGATAATTTAAATATAATCTGAATCATTGAAGTGATCACCGCTTCCGACCTGGGTAAGCCACCCTTACACTCCTCCTTTCTGTTTTCAATTTAGGACTCGAATTCAAGCTTTCATGTCTTTTAGGTTTATACATACTTCTTTCGTCCAATCCTCATCACTCTCTCCTCTCTGTCTCTCTGTAAACAATTTCCAATTGGTTTTTACAGAGAGAAGGTGGCAGCAGCAGCAGTGGGGAAGGAAGGACTATTCCTGTTTCTGTGATAATTTCTGCCCTTCAAAGCTCTGGGGTTTGGCTTTGGCTCTGTTAACTGTTGAGGTAATTATTAATCCATACTTTGATTGTAATTTTGGTTTTTTTTTTTTTTTTCCTTTCAGTATTCGGTGAGTTTGATCAAATGGGTTTCTTTGGACTTGCATAAGTTGTGTATAATATTGCTTCAATCATTTATTGCGTTCCTTTTATATTATTGAGTATTGAGTTTTGCTGGAAATTGTATAAATTTGATCTTTTATTGAGTATTGCGTTCCTTTTATATCTGTACTCAAATTGCATAAATTATTGAGCTTTTGTTTGGTACTTTTACAGCTAACTGTGCTAATTAGTTCATACCCAAAAAGGAGCAGAGAATAATTGTTCTAATCAGTAATTCCCCACTATAAGAACTTGAGACCTTGGACTGATATGCATTTATGAGATTTTCTGGTATACTAACAGACCCTGAGATTTTCGTGTCTCCAGAGTTCTCCAGCCAACCACAGACCCCTGGTTGCCGTACTTCCGTTGCACGCAGATCTTCTGGTATACTCACTAAGCATAAATTTAATGGTTTACAGAAACTTTTAATTTATCCGTCCTAAATATCTTCTTTTATTCTTGATGCCATGCTACTTGCTCGACCTTTTCTTGCATCAGTTGTGTCACCTAAAATTAAAATGACATGAAATAGTTTCCCTACATGCTTAATGTTGTGAATGCCGGTGATGTTAGAAATTTAGTGATTGTTGCTCTCTTTAATATATCTGTACTCATGTGTTTTACAGATGCGCAATTCAAAAGAACTGGTTGCTGCTTGGGTGAGAGGTGTATAATTTCATTTAAAAAAGAACTGTTTTGGTTGCTGGTGGTGGTTTATCTGTATTTGATTGGTAATTTCAACAATCGACGATTCAATAATATTTGAACTTCCATTTCTATTGTTAGAAGACAACATCTCCATCTCAATTCTGCATGATCAAAATGTATGTTTGGCTAAGACAACCATGCTTTACAGGTAGAGAGGAAGCTGCGATTAGAAACAATGTTGAGCGAGATTTAAGTCTTCATTTGACCAAAAAAAAAAAAAAAAAAAAAAAAATCTTTGATTAAGATATCTAGATTTGTTATTTTATTCTATTGACAGTTCATTGTTTGATTGGTTTTGTTGATTTCCTCCACTTTTTAACAAATATTCGTTAATCTACCTATTTTATTTGGGTGATAAGTTCACTCTTTCAGTCTTAGCTGAAGGAAGATATAGGGCATGGTTTTGTTAATGGCGGTGGATGATTTGGATGAAAGTAATCTTGGGGATTTTTTTGCTTGCAGTTGTTTAGGCCCGGACTGAAGAAGTTTTGTGGAATGAGATTCTTATCAGATTCTTACACCAAATTGTTTCTCCGTTTATGGCCGGTAATAAACAGTCCAACCAGTAGCTGATAAAATGTCATTGTATATATGCTTTTGACGATTTCTTCTACGATAATGAGGGAATCTAGAGGATCGAGGCCACTCGATCTAAGGTCTGTACTACTCTATCCCTTTCTTTCTCTCTGTGAATTTCTTGAAATTGATGACTCACGTTCTGATTCTTGCTGTGTTTGGGAGCGAAAGCTCTAGATTAGCTTTGATCACTTGATTTTTTTCTTTTTTAGTTCAGCACAGTCAAACTGCATAATCCTACCGTTGGGCTACTTCTAGGGAGGGTTTGTGTTTACTTTTGTTAGTCTGTTAACAGTTTGGTATGTCTATCATATTGATGGAACTAATTTGTGAGTTAATTATGGTTTAGGTTGTTGAATTTTGAATTCGGAATTCCCTTTGGAAACTGTCACAAGCGATGTGTCTGTTGCGGCTACAGGAATCAAAAGTGAGTGAAAGGTAAAGCTTTTCTCTCCAAACATTCATCGCCAGCAATTCCAGCCAGAGCCAGGTATATCTCTCCTCTTGCTTTCTCTCTACGATGTTCTATCCCAATTTCTCTCAGAAAGTAAGGGTTTTGGTTTGCATTCTTGGATTAGATTTGTATATATTCCATTGCATCTCAGTTTTCTCTGATATAATAGCATAATCTGGCTCTTGGTATTCTAACTTTGCTTTCTTTGCATCAAAATTGTTTATGGCTCTTGGTTTTCTTGATCTAATTTTTTATTTTATTTCTATAATTAGATAAATTAAGGTTAAAATTTTCCATTAGTATATGATTATTCGATTCTGATATATCACTTTCCTCCATTTGATGTGATTTTGGATTATTAGGGACTCATGCTTGCCTTCCGAGTTTTCGTTGAAAAAAGGCTTTTAGCTGAGTAATTTACTAATTTGGTTTTGATTATCAGCTAAAGAGAATAGGGGGTTTAATTTGTAATTATTTTGATGTGGTGAAAAATTTTAGATTTTACACATTTTTCCAGTTCAGGATGATAAAAATTTAGGGCTTTGATTTGTTGATGTGATTTCCACGTACTCTGACTTCACATAGAAATGCAAGGATATATTAAATGTGTTTTTTAGTCTTCATCTATTTGTTTAACCCTTAATGATATGTGAATTGTTGATTGATAATTTGATAATATGTACGCTATTATTGAATCAGAAAAATTGGTTCTTTATTTGTTGGGCTTGGTTGTTTTGGCACGTAAGGTTATGAGGAAGAGGAAAAAGAAAATTTATAGCCTGCCAAGGATGTTTTGGAATACCTTGAGTTGACGTGTCTTTTTCCAGGTTTTAGCGAAGTTTGAGGTTTGATGTGTCTTCTCCATTCCTGCATATAATTTATCAATGAAAGGCTTTCTCTCACTGTGAGCTTCTAATTGTAATCCTTACCTTCAAATTTGAACCTTCCACGATTGAACTTCCACTGTAAAGACAATCTTTGTACGTGACAATTGCATTGGTGGGCCTTTTTTGCAGCTTCCAGAAATCATTGCTGCTTTAATCTCTTGCGCCCAATTGTTCATCATAGAAAACTCCTAAATACAGTGAGATGCCTTGTAATGTTGTTTTAATGAGTGCATGAGTGCATGATTTACTTTATACGTGACCTTTAAATTGACTTGTATGCTTGGGTCCTTGCTCCCTACAATGATCTTCCCCTGAACTGCTGCCATGCACTTCACCTTTTTACTCTTGCAATTGTCTTTGGCCTTTCTTGATGCATCAGACACCTGGAAAATTGATGTTCCATAAAGATAAGCAATTGTTCCTTTTATTAGTAATTATATGAAGTAGGCATATTATGCAATACAATGTCTACATTCAATTAGTAAATATTGAGTTTATTTTTTTCAAACAGTGGCATTTTGATTCAGGTTTAAGCTTCTTAGTGGCATCATAAGGGTTTCTTTGGGGAGTGCTGATAGTTAATTTGATGGCTTATACATATAAATATTCAACCTATATTGTTAATTGTATGTAAGAATTGATTCAAGACAATATGAAGCTATCAATGGACTATAAGAGTTATCAATGGATTACATTGTTGACCTCCTTCAATTCTATTCCTTTATACATGGTTGAACTGATACCTCCTATTTGTTGATGAGATAGTCTACCAAAAGATTATGGAGTTCAATGTAGGTGAGTACAATTTTTTCATGTGGAGGTATTCCTCATTTTGGTTTAAGGTACTGAAGTCTGAATCAGGAGACGTTTTCTGATTAAGAAAACATCAACAACGTACAAGAGAAAATCAGGGTTCTCTTTTGCAATTTACACCACCAAAATATATATAACTTCTTCATCTTTGTACGGATGTCTCTGTAAAAATATATTATTTCCTGCTTTTAATTTTAGTTTTTTGTTTCTCTTTTTGCAGTTTTTCACCAAACAAACAGATTATAAGCAACTTTTTTTCCAATTATTTCTTGCTTTTAATGTTCATGAGGTTGTAGATTGAAGGAATAAAAGAGTCAAAATAATATGAAGAAAAAATAGTGGAGACATCTGCAACCGGTTGAACAAAGGTAATTCTTATAGCCACCGAATACTCAGGGGTTCAATCATACAATTTGTTTTATGTTCTTTTAGTGTTTTCAGGCATTCACGTGTTTACTTATTATAGATGATGTATTTCTGTATTGTACTAATATTTGTTATAAAAAAAATAATTAGTTTTTCCTCCTTGGTGTTTGCTAATGCGCTTCTCGAGACAGCGTTGGAACATGGAGATGATGGGGATGCAGGGGATGAGGAGGAAATGGCAAAGGAGGAGGACCAAAACGTGTTCTCTGTTAGGATAATTGGTGCCCTTAATTATATGGTTTGTTCCTTTGGTTTTTATGGTTTAAATGTATTTAATTTGATGGTGTTTTTGATAAATTGTTGAATATATTTTTAGTTTAGTTATTGATTGTATTGAGTGTGGTTTATGCTTTTGGTATTAAGTAGTTTTTTCGTATCGCTAAACTCCTTTTGCGGTAGAGAAACGTGAGTTCTTCTAAGGTGTCTAAGTGAGTGTCAATCACAGAGTATTGTGTTCGAATATCTGTCCAAACAAAAAATTTCTTTAGAATGAAATAAATGAAACAACTTTTGAGACTCCCTCATTTGAGATGTGTATTGGTTCTGAAAGTATAAGACCAAAAGTTACATTTTCATTCCCATTTACAGAAATACAACTTGCAGAATTAGTTAAAAGTATCAAATGACTAGCATGTGAATTTGTGTATGGTTAAAAATAATCTTATCCTTAAGGAATTGTCATGTTGCTTTGATTAAGTTATACATGGCCATGATAAGGTATTGCTCATCCCCACAAACATTTTGTACACGTGTGGCATTAATATATTTTATTTTCTGATTGAATTTGTTTTGATTCAATGGGGTTGGTGAGCTAAACAGCAAGTGGCTTTCTTTTAGTTTGTGGATAGCTCTTCTGGGTTTTTCTTCTTTTTTTTTTCTGATTGAATTTCATTTGATGCAATGGGAATTCCACTTTGTTTGTGGTTTGTGAATTGAAATACATTATACATGTATTGTGAAATTCATTATTTTGAGTATGTTCTTACCTGACATTTGGAAACTTTGAGTATGTTCTTACCTGACGTTTGTAAGCTTTTGATTAGTTATGAAAGTTAATATATTTTGTCCGTGTTTATAAACGTATGACGTACAATCAGTTTCTTTTCAGTTGGGTTGAAATGATGTTGATTGTGCTGTTATAAAGCTCTTTTTTATAGTTAGGTTGAAAATCATGTTAATAGATTCTTATTTGGTTGGTCCGATCTGTAACAGTCTAACAGATGGATTGTTTTCTTTAAATTAAAATTTGATCCTTTTTTTTTTTTTTGTTTTTTTTTGTTTTTTTGTGTGAAATTATAATGGAATCGCTAATTTGTTGAGTATATCTTAGATTCTTGATTGCACCTGCCCGCAACTATTACATTGTCTCTGGACTGGATGAATTTTTATAATTTCTAGGATCCACAGTTGCAATGCTTTTGAAGCATAAAGTAAGGAGGAAGCTACTATTATGGAGCTTCTTTGGCATGGTAAGTTGAAGTTGTGTATCGTTTTGTTTTTTCGTTCATGGAATTCATTATCCTGCTAGCTTGGCAATTAGCAGTGTGCACAATTGGTAAAATGTTTGAACAAATTTGTGGAAGTTTGAATTGTACTGATGAAGGTGAATTTTAACAACTTTAACTTAGATTTCTTAATAATTTGATCCGTCTTTCTTTCATTTGTGTTCGACTACTTTACCTTTTTTGTATATAAGTAAACTGTTAATCGAAAGCCACAGAAACTACCTAACTGGAATGTGTCAATCTTTTGTTTCTTTATTTTTGCATGTAGATAGAAAAAGAGACTTTGATCTTTTGTATGTGAATTATATTATGTATGTGAAAGTTTTCCTACCATTTTCCATTTCAAACGTATTAATCTTCTGACACAATCGTTCATATCTTTCGAACATAATCTTTTATACAAGTTCTAATGTCGCAATGTGTGTTATCTGCATTGGTGCATTTGTGGGTCTGATTCCGTTCGTACTGCCTCTTTAGTGCACCATTGATGCATTCGAGTCATCAAGTATTATAATGTATGTGCATGCATCAGTCATTCCGTTTGGTGAATTCCAAAAAATAACAGCATCTCTGTACACTCTATTATTCTTTGTACATAGGCAAAAATGAGAGCGTCTCTGTACACTATTGCCCTTTTGTATGCAGGGCAAATGGAGATGGCAATTGTTGTGGTTCACACACTCCGTCCTTTTTATTTAGAGCAAGTGGAGATGGCTGTTTGAATAAAATGAAGAATTTGGCCAGGTAATTCAGTTTTCCACTAACTGGCATTTGGTTTTTTAAATGTTTATGCAGGGAGAGATGAGTTATGTACTCTGATTTCCTTACATTCTCGTTACATGTTACCCAATTTAAAATTGTGACTCACATGAAAGTGGATTTTGACAGGATTTGTGTTTTTAAATTGTAGTGTCATGTTGGCATTATTGCTTATTTATGAATGCAAGTCTATTTTACATCTATTTAATGTCTTTAATTTTGATCTCCACATTATTTAATGTTCACAATTGCCTCGTTACTCTGAATACCAAGGCAGCCCCAATCAATTCTGGAATCATTTTTACAAGTTCCAAAATACAGTATGTATAACTTAATCTCAAATTTATTCATTTCACAAACATTCGCATCATATCCATAGTTTTTTATTGCTCGAACTTCCACACTTCATTTTCCACTATTTTGCATCTGTATAGTAGACTTATCATTTTCCCAATCGCTGGGTGTATGTAAATGGAAAAAGAAATATCAGACACAATTTCGTAAAAAGAAGTTTTCTGTGTTGCTTAGTTAGGTGTGTTGTTCAATTGAGTTACAAGGGACCAATCTTGATTCTTCACTATATGCTTGAAATTTTCAAAAAAGACAACTTAAGAGCTCAAGTCTAAATATCTTTGTTATTTAGTAGTGAATTTTTAGCACAGTGGAAATATGTGGAATGATATTTATGCCCTTCAATTCTAATTGGCAATCTGCTGCCAATTTAAACCTTTTCAGGGCGTCCGCCACCGGAGGTTACGCAGGTGTGCAAACGGTCACACAGTGGAACTTGGATTGCACAAAGCACAGCGAGCAGGGTGATAGGTATATTTTCTCACCTTTACCATTTTAGGATTTAGATTAGTGATAAATTAATTTGAATCATGTGGCGTGATATTTCCATTGTGTTACAGACTATGTTATGATAAATTAATTCGAATCATGTGGCATGATATTAACATAACTAGCTACCTTTGTTGTGGTTTTGTCGATCATACCCAAGGGAGACTTTTCAACTTTATGGTTTGAACATCTGTGCTTGACTAGCTGCTCGAACAAGAACGGAACTTCTTTTTTTTTTGGTTTTTTGTGAACTGCTAAAACAGGTGCCTAGCCTGCAGGACATATATTTTGCCATCGTAATTGCAGTGGCAAAATAAGTCTGAGCTGCATGTTGCTTCTGTTTCTTCTCTTTCATATGGAAACATGGGTTCTGCATATTTTTGGCATTGAACATTTGTGCTTGGAAAATTAGCTACTTGAACAAGTATTGAACACTTTCTATGTTTTTTATTAACTGCTGAAATAGGTGCCTGCCCTGCTGGACACATATATTGCCATCTTAACTACAAGGGAAAAATATGTGTGAACTGCATGTTGCTTCTGTTTCTTATGGAAACATAACTTTTTTTGGCAACTATGTCTTTGTGATCAAGAACGTTCAGTTTCTTCCTACTAATTGCGCAATGTCTTTATGTGTCAACTCAGTTGAATGTATATAAAAGTCAAGCTGTTTATCTTATCGACCTCATTCACTCATGTTTCCCTCTGTTCATTCATGATTGTGTTGAATTTATTCAGGTTAAATGTGTCTTATTTATGCAGTTACGCCTGGAATAGTTAGTTCCCTGCCGCAATGCGCGAGCTTATTTTCTAGTTATATTTATTTTAAGGATTTATAAGTACTTGAACTCCATAACCTCTTTTACATAACTAAGCCAATCCAAAAATTCCTCAACTTGGAGGCTCCCTTACCTAGCTACGATGCAGATCGCAAATTTTATCCTTCAAAGTTTTGGGTTTGTTAGGAATGCTTTTGCAGGAAACACTTTTGCTAATAAGTACTTTTGTTTGCATGTTTGTTTGTATGTATGTTTGTTTATTTAAGACATTTATGCTAATGGGTAGAGGATTTCGGTTAACCCTCACATTGAGCAATGTCATCATAGTTTGGTATTGAAACTCGCCGTCCACGAACTATTTGCTCACAAGCATTGATGGGGCCAATGAAGGCCAAGAGGGTCGCATGACCCTTCTTCCTAGTTTTTGTTACATGATTGTACATTTTTACATGAAAATCCTTGAGGATTTGACCCTACTTGTAAGTGAAAGAAAAATATTATTAGACTGCAGTACTAGGTGGCATAATATTTTCTTAACGTTGAACATACGAGGTACCAAACGAGCCCCTTAATTTCTCCTCATGCTCGTCAATTAAGCTCAAGGAGCTTCACGAACTGTAAATTGGCCGAGAAGAATAACAAACTTTCAATCTGAGTGCATCAGCCGATTGGTTGTGAGTAGAAATAAAATGTATCACAATGATAGATCATGATACGTGACCACATTATTATTTAATAAAAAAGGTAAGAATCGATTTCAACATGTTTAGTGTTAAGCATGATCATTGTTTAGAGGCTAATCGAACTAATATTGTTTTACATGTGGAAAAATTGCGTGTTAAAGTACCAAAACCATCATTGATGTTTATAGTGTGCTAATTTTTGAAAGGTTTTTTTATTTCTTTTATGAAAAGGGGGTTAGCACGACAGTCCATTCTTTCAATAGATGGGAAGACTTGTAGAGGTATACAAGCCTACCCCTAACCACCGGTGATTCACCAACGCCAATAATTTTGAAGCAGTTTAATTAGCCTGTTTATATTGAGTTGATACCTTATTTGCATGAGGAGAAATTTTGTGGTCCGGAAACCAGACCACATTTCCCACAGCTAGGGTTGGTTCAGTTCAAGATACCAAACCGATACTTGAATACCGAAAATCAAAGTAAAAACTTTCGGGATAAAATTTTGAAAATCGAAACTGAACCAAAATTTCAGTTTCTTGAAATTCAATGATACAAAAATGATTTTGATTTTTCGGTTTGGGATCAGGAATGGGCCTTCAGGTCCAATTTTTGGGCTTTCTAATTTGATCTAGATTTGGGTTGAAATTTGGTTAGCCCAATTTTGGGGCCTTTTGAATGTGTAACTTATCTTAGTTTGGTTGGTCTAATTTGATTCATACCAATTTGGTTTGCCCGATTCATACCAATTCATGCCAATTTTGTCAGTCCAATTCATACCAATTTTATTTATCACCACATTTCTTTGCACAATTTATAATTTTATAGTAACAAACTACAAGCAAATCATGTTCATTAGTATCAATGCATCATTACTAATTACCATCTCTATACTGACAAACTACTTAAATTAAACATGCAACCAAAATGAAATAAGTTAAGTTACAAACACAAAAGTAAAAAATTAAGTTACAAACCAAAATTCTAAATGAATTTAAAATTAGTTAAAACTTGAAAGCTCAAGTTCATGAAGATTGAGAGGAGTTTCGAGAGAGAGAATCAGAGATAGGTGTGGATGTGGTGTGGGTGGACTGCGAATTGGGCGACGAAGTTGGGGAGGAGGAGAGCTTGAGTCTTTTGGGTTTGGGCAGAGGAGTCAAAAGGGACAGACAGTTGAGGTCGAGAGAGAGAAAAGGGTTTAATTTTATTGAAAGGTTGATTAAATCTCAACCAAGCCTAGCGGTCTATAATTATTAAAATTATATATATATATATATATATCGTATTGAAATTTTCGGTATTGGTTTGGTTTCGGGTACCGAAGTTTTGGTATTGTCGATTCGGGATTTGTTTGGTTTCGGTACGGGTTTGGTCGGTTTCAAAATTTTCAGTATTTTTTCTAGCACGCCTACGACCAGAGACACAAAAACCAACCCATACCTACTACATGTTCCTCTTACAAACACCCTACTCCTGCTCCTGCAAAAAAAATCTCTCCTGCACTAGAAGCGGGGCTGTGTGTGGACTACCAATGACCTTCTTCCCGAGAAATTTTTTATTGTGCTCGGAATATGGATAGTACATCACGTGTCGTCATATAAATAATGAGAAGTTTTATTTTTAAAATTGTTAATTTTTTAACACAAGTATCTCACTACTATCAGAACTATATCACAGATCATTGATATGCCAACTGAATCACCAACACTCCAAGAATCAAACTAAATAACAAAGCTATAAACTTGAACAAAAATTGTCAAGAACATACCTGCAGAACTTGAACTGGAAGAAGCCATAGCAACTTCAAAACCAAGCAATCTTCTCCTCTTTAGCACAACTAGAAAGCTCTTTGAATAATAGGTATTCAACACAAGATGAGCAGCAATCCTTGCAAGAGTAGTGATTAAGGTTACGTACAACATTAATCCAACTCATTCTCCTTTTAGAATTAGCGTTGAACTCTAAAACAAAACCTTATCATATTATAAGTGTACAAAATCAATCAGTGCAGAATCTAAATCCTTTTCACAATGGAACACTAAAAGCACTTACAATCCTACAAAGAATAGGATTCAATCGAGCATATTATCAAGACTTTTTCAGTCACTAATTCAATCAATATTATAGTTATTCTTCAATTACGTTTCATACTCATACTCCAACATTCTTCCACTTGAGTATGAAAACGCAATGATTAACTAAAAACGACGATATGTACACACAACTACATCAACAATGTATATACTTGCTTGTCGGCACTTTTTACGTATCAATAATTCTATTTAAATACACTTGTTCATACTTTCTTTAATAGGAGTGGATCTCATCATGGAGAAATTTTCAGAGTTCTGTGGTACATGAATTTGGATCCTCTCCTGAGTCCATAGAACATGAGACGGCTAGAGCACCTACCCAATAAATATCTGACATGTGGAAAATCTATTTTCTGTTAAATTTCATGTCATTGTTTTTGTTTTATTCAAGATAAGTCTATTAATAAAATATTTCATCTATGGGAAAAAGAAAAAAAATAGTTTAACTCCATTAATTTCTCAATCTGTTCATCTTCTTTCTTGGTAGATTGCAGATTCGCCCAACTCCTCAACATACAAAATCCTTTTTCTTTGCCGGGTTGAAGCCCTTGTTGGTGTTGCGCATGGTGGACAACTCGACCGGGGACTTGACAGAGAGCAGGCGAGCAAGATGAAGGATGTGAATGGCGAGGCGAGGCGATCCGATGCTGTCAGTTTTAGGCTGGTGAGGAGGGTGTATAGAGGGAAGTTACCACTCCTCACGTTTTAGTAAAGTGACCTCCAATCCAGAGGAGTGACAACATCCACCACCACCTGGCTTTGGCTTGTCAGGCTGGTCGACAACCCTCACTCAAAGACCGACGTTATACTCCCTCTCCTTATGCAGATGCATGAATCGCAATCAAAATATATATGGATCTGAACAAATCCAAAACCCCAAAACCCGCATAAGTAAAATGGTCAAAAATTCCAAGAATTTTGTAAAGGAGAACAAAAATCCAAATGATGAAGCGACAAGGACAAAACCCAATTTCTAGTTCTGGGCTCCGGGAGAGTAGCCAATTTCAATGATGATTAAAAATTAGAAGAATTAGGGGTTGCAAATGAAGAAGATGAAGTTTCAGAATAAATCTTAATAAAAATAATAAAGAATTAATTAATTTTCAACAAAAAGAGCAAGAAAAAAAAAAAGAATTTCTTTGTAAAAGCATATAGCCACGTGTCATATGTCTGTTGGTTCGGTATTCCCCCTGTCATGCATGAGGTGCAGTTCCCAGAAAAATTTCTCTCTATGATATGATGAGATGTTTTTACTAACAAAAAGGTTATTAATTACGAAATTAAGTAAGAAACAACAAATAATTGAGTGTTTTTATATATATATATATATATGAGAAAATTTGAAATAGGTCCAATTTTGCTCATGGTACGTAATATATGATATGGCATGATAATTTAATTCTTCATTTACTAAAACATTTCTTATTTTATGTGCAAAAAGGTTTGGTAATCCATTAATAAATTTTTCTTTCCAAAATAGTTGATTACTATATTCTCGAAACATAACTCTGGACATGAAGACATCTTTATATTATCTGAAATCACTTAAGGTAGGGCACTTTAAGTTACTCAGTTGGTCGTGAACTCTAGTAGTGACATTACTAGGTGTTCCTATAAAATGTTCTATGATAATGTAGAGTAAGGTATTTACTCCATCAGGTATTCATTGTCCTATACTTTCATCAAAGATGGGAAGACCTTCCTCATCTTTTTTAACCGCATGGCGTATTTCATCTCGGGATTGAGAGGTTAAGTGTTTTTCCCACCAGGAATGAAGCATTCCTGTGAAACCAGTGACTAAGAGGTCGACTATTTGTGTTTGTGTGAGATTATGATTGATAATATAACTATTAGCAACCATGGACATGTGTTGAAGTTTGTTAAGAAGTTCTTGTTCTGACAATCCATCTATATTCCATTCATAGAGTTTGTCAGCAGAGACTGAGAATTGATTTTGGGTATTTCTTTCTTCAAATTGAAGATCTAAAGGTGTTGGTTTGGGATACCAGTTTTTTGTGAGAGTTGTGGGGTTGACAGGAGTAGTGCGAATACGCTTAAGATCTAAAGTCGGTTGAAGATCAATATTTTGAAAAGCATGTTTAATCTTCTTAAGAGAAGTATCAGTATCAGTTTCTTGTGAAA